AATCAGAGGGGTGGAATCTTCTTGGGACAGCCAAAAGGGTTGCATTCTAAATTGGGGATAGGTAGTGTCTTATCCCTTCTTCTGAGAGGGCTGCTCAATTTTAAAACAAATGACCTTTTTTACTCCTCTTTCAAGCCAATGGTCCTCTCTATCCAAAATGTAAACTGTGGTGTCTTCTGTGATGGACTGCTGAAACTTGTCTTGGTGGGTTAGATCTCCTATGTTGTACCATGCACTTGTGCTGCTTTGTTTTACCAATGTACAAATGTGCACGTCTCACTGCATTGTATTGCATATACCACATTGTTCAGTTTGTTTTACACTTGGGGTGGACAAGTTTCTGCCTTAATGTATTCTTGGGCTTAAAATGCACAAGTATGTGAAAAACGTTCCTGAGCTTTTCAGATATTCCAGCAACTTGAGTAACTATAGAAGGGAAAAAGTTAGGCCAACAGGCCAACTAGGAGTAAGAGTTTAGATGAAAATGTTGAAACACGCCCCCACCCCCCGCTTTATTTATACCTTTCTTTGGAGAACATAGGGACATGGTGGCTCAGTGGCTAAGACGTTGAGCTTGTCAATCAGAAAGATCAGCAGTTCGAATCCCTAGCACCGTGTAATGAAGTGAGCTCCCATTACTTCTCCCAGCTTCTGCCAACCTAGCATGTAACTTCAAAATCATGTAAAAATGCAAGTAGAAAAATAGACTAGCACGTATGTGTGAGGGGAACCTTTACCTTTACCTTGGAGAGTGTACAGCTAAAGAATATTAGTCCAGAAGAAGTAGCCTTAGTCTAAGACAATTTGGCTGTATTCAGATGTGAAGTGGTCCCATTATTAACTTCACCATGCTCATTACCTACTTCTGAAATACATGAAACCATTTTCTTTTTGGCAGGAACCAATATGCCAGACAATTTATAAATAAAGGAAAATAAAGGCACCTCTGCAATGCACAGCTTGTGATAGAAGGAAGAGGGGGGATGTTACTCAACATGGAAGCTATCTGCAATATGTTCTCTTATGGAATGCCAATTGCACAATCCCTTTGGACTTTGGAGCTTTGATATGGACTAGAAATGCAGAGTTTGGAAAACACTAAAACTAAGGAGGGACATTTTAAGGATACATCTAGGAGAAAGAAATGGAATTTTGAGAATTCACAAAATTTTTGCAACAGCACCACGTATTGTCTTTTGCTTTTCTGCCAATACCATCCAGCAGTTTCTCTATCACCAATCAACAAAGTGAGGCCTTTAGCTACCTACCTGTAAGCTTGGGACTACAATTTTGGTAAGCCAACTTTTAGAGCCTTCAACCATAGTTTAGTTTCATTAATTGTCATTGCACCTCATACAACAAAATTAAATGCCATCTTCGGTGTACATCATACATAAAAAACTATAAAAATAAAACAAAAACACACATCCTTCACATTCTATTCAATTGAATTGAAAACCTGTTACTTCGTTAGTATTACACTATACAGTAGATACACTTACTGTAAATTACAGTAACACAGTTCATTAAAAATATGAGAAAAGAAACATTAAGGACTTGAGGAAACAGAGAGACTCCTTTGGAGGGTTTCCCCACCTAGAAAATTCTAGTATTTGTCTGAATCACTGGCTATTAAGTGTTCCAGGGGCTGTAGAATTACACCAAGTTGTAAGCCATAGAAAAGAAACTATGTCCTGCTAAATATTCATATTCTTGATTTTTGCATAAACATCGATTGCAAAACTATTTGAATAGTTTTTTCTTTACAAGGCAAGAATGAATATTTGATTCTCTAATCAATTTTCTAAAAATTCAATTCATATGGAGAAACTTCTGTAATTGCAGTAGACAGTTAAAGGTTATTGTTTATGGGCAGGCAGCATAAAATGTAACTCTTCTTAAACACTGATTTGCTGCAGTGATGAAGCCCTGCCCAGAGCTTCTCCCTAGCCAATGGAGAAAGTCTGGTTATTAAACGAAGCTTTGTCAATCATGTCTCGGCACAGGTGCTTGTGGGGTGCTAAGTAGTTCCTGGGAAAAGTACTAAAGACCACCGTGTTACCTAAATTATCAATTTTGACCAGTTAGTGGGATTGCCTTTTGCCAAAACCTCTAACAGGGAGATTTGATTGGGATTGTGAGTATTTGTGTTAAGCATATTGTGGAAGCAGAGCCTTCTTAAGTTATGGGTGAAAAAATGCTTTAAAATAGTAGCATAAAAGACAATAGGGCTTCATAGATAACAAAAAGGAGAAAACTCCAGTGCAAAGGTGCCATGGCAGAAGAAGGTCCACATTGGCACAAGTAGCAAGATGAAACTTAAGCAGTGCCCCATGTAGCTAACATCCTTGGATGGCATGACCCTTTTGAGTTTGTGATCAACATTTCAATCTAAAGAGCTAGATTGGGTAGGCCATAGAGGCAGAATCTTAAAGCTCCCTACAATATCCTCACAAAAGAATCTGGCTTTTTGGACAAGTAGAGATATGTGGTTTGGAGGACTGACATCCAGTGGTCAGGCCCAGCCATTTTGAAACTCTTGTCCCTCCCCCTTATTTCTTTTGCTCTTAAATACTTTTTCATACCTTATAAAATGCCACATCTAAGTTTCGACATGAAGCACGTCCACAGGAAAAATGAGAACTCCTCCTAACTTTTGCAGTGGTATATTTGATGATTTGCTTATTTGGAAACACAGATTTGATAAAATGAAAATGTACTGTATATTTTGAGCTATAGGCTTAAAATGCCTTACAAATGGATCAAACAAAACGCGAGCCTGTAATCATTAAGCATATGCTTCATCGTTACAATGATCAGTGGAATATTTTGCTCACCCGGCTGGGAAATGCTCATATAATTATGATTGTTTACTCATTTATATAATCCTGAGGTGGTTTTATTTTTTTCCAGTGCAAGCAGCCAAAGGGGATGAGTGTTGGTGAAGAGATTCCAGAACTTTGGCAGGATAAGCAGAGGGATTTTTCCCTTAGGTACTGGAAGAAAACAGGTATCAAGCAATAACTACAAGGAAAAGGAATTGTAGAGGTGGAGACCTAGTTTGTGGGTGGTCTGTGGATCCCTTTCTCTCCATAGTTAATTTTAATAAGCGCTGCCAACATGAGGCATTCTCCCTCTGCCCAGAGGCAAGTGTTACATTGAACAAAAATCTCTTGTTAGCTGCAGCCAGTTCTGATCAATATTTTTTCCAGTTCTTTGAAACAGATTGTTGAGTGTCTTGTTTGAAAACCTCTTCACTGCATTCTCCTAGGAGGGAAAATGCCAACATATATTAAAACAAGTTTTCAAAATGGGTCTAAAATAACAGCATCTGTGTTGGAGCCATTTAATATATTGCAGGAAGGAGATAACTCTACAAATAAGGTTCCATAATGGAGAAGAGAGCCAGTTTGGTATAGTGGTTAAACATCAGGCTAGAAAACAGGAGAATCAAGTTCTGACCCTGCCTTTACCAGATGGGTAAATTTGGGCCTATTTTCCAAACCCTATGAAAAAGGGAAAAATTAAAAAAAATCAATTATTTAAATTAATACATGCTGTACTAAGTTTAAAGTACCAACATAGGAGGTGAGTAAGTGTTACTGGTTTTGCGTACCTTGAAGTACTGGTGATAGCTTATGGGGGAAATTTTGTGTTGATACCAATATAGTTTATGGAAAATTCAGATTTACACCAGTACCTTGGGTACTCATTGTTAATTGATTCCGGGAGGTATGATAAGTAACATGGGGAGAGTTTTGGGGCAATTTGGGTTTGGGATGATTTTCCCATATTAAGAGGGATGTGGGTACTATCCAATGAAGCGAAACATTTTGCCCTCTTAGCCACTTGTTTTAATATAGAAGTGCAGTCTTAGACATCTTGGCTAAGACTTGGATGTCTTTTTTTAAGTTTTATTTTTAACTTATTTTTTTATACAAAGATTAGGCTTATAGTCTACATTTATATATTCTTTCATTTTTACCAGAGATAGAGATGGAGATATATAGATATGAGCATAGAGTTGCCACTTTGGCTCATTTTCTTTAAAGATACCAGTACAACTCTTAATCTCAAAGTAAGTACTTTAAGTTAGCTGATCTTAAGAGAGTTTTAACAGTACCAAAGTTATTGAAAACTACAAGCCTCTACTTGATAGGAATATCCTATTTTAGCCAGGTGACTCCCACATGGAGTCCTACCCTCATCCCATACATTCATAAAGGCTGAAGTAGGTGCTTAAAATGATCTCTTTTAAGAATCTGATTACAATATGGAAGGGTTAATTTATTTGACTTCTGAGGGACTTTAACAGGCAGCAAGCAAGCTTTGAAACTAAACTGAGATCTGAATAAGAGTTTTTTTTCTGTCCAAGCTCACTTCTCTTACCTCAACATCTTGTGGATCTCCTAGAAGGAGGTCTCCCTAAAAAAATAAGAAAACTTAAGGATGTGTGTATCCTCAACAAACCAACATTCTCATTTATGTCTAATTAAAGGGAAGAAACCCAGGGTGCAAAGGACTAAAGGCACGTAGAACTCAACGGATGGAAGCTTCAGGGTTTATTTGTGAATTAGACTTCAGACAACATCATGTTGTGGTAAATCTCATTGCCTCACCTACACATTGTCAAGTGTAGATTCTGTGATGATGTCCAAGTCTTTTGGCAAGGATCATAGTTCTTTTCATCTGCCACAGGTTGCACTGATGACCATTTTTGCAAGGTTTGGGGTGTTCCGATCACTATTTCACTGCCTCTTCTATATCATGGAAGTCCTTGAATTCAGTCTCCTTCAACTTCATATTGCTGTGTCAAAGCCTTTCTCCCGTAATCCTGAATGTCTGAATGTTGGAGGAGAGTTCTTTCCTCTTTTTGTAACCCCAGCTTGGCTCTGGAGCTCCACCCTTGTCGACGATGTTTTAGCATCGGTTCATTTCCGCCCCTTGCAACAGCTGAAGGACAGCTGTGCTCCAGCTGTGTTCAGTGGTCCTGGGTCAGACTATTTAGAAGAGGTTTCTTTATTTAAGGTTCCTCCTTTCAGCCAGCTGTTTTTGGCCACTTGCCCTACTCCAGGTCGGGAAGCTGGACTAAACTGAAGCAATTGGGCAATGAGGGACTTGCAGGGTTCAGGTAAGGGAGGGATACCCTCGGGATAGAACACCCCCTTCTTTTGACGGCGGGGCATACTGTGGATGTGGCTATCATCAAAGGGCATGCATCCAGTAACCATCACATACAGTACTACTCCCAGACTCCACACATCATACTTCTTAGGATCATAGGGAATGCCCAGCAGCACTTCTGGGGAGGCGTAAGCAGCAGAGCCGCAGTATGTGGTGCTCAGGTCCGGATACCCACGTGACTCCCTGCCAAAGCCAAAGTCAGTCAGCTTTGCCCGACGTCCATCTGCGGTGAGTAGTACATTTTCACATTTAAGGTCCCGATGCACCAAATTTCGGTCATGCAAATAACGTACCGCGCTCACGACTTGGAGAAAGATGTCTCGAGCTTCCGGGATGCAGGGTAGCTTCCCTAGTTGTTGCACCAGTTGTAATAAGTCAGTGGAAGCAGCTTCCATCACAATATAAAGTTTCCCATTGCAAACTTCAATGAATTCAAAAACACGTACAATGTTGGGATGACGAATTGCCCGTAAGATGGACAGCTCTCGTGGGAGAAACTTGTGTACAAAGTCAGGGGGTGCCCGGCGTCGATCTACTACTTTGATGGCTAGAGGGCCTTTGTACTTGGCTGAGGTGGCTACCCTTACTTTTGAATAGCTGCCTTCCCCCAGCGTTTGGCCCAGCTTGTAACCAAGCTCATTTAGCCATCTGTCCCCTCCAGAACTCTTCGACATGGTGCAGGATGCCTTGGAGAGCTCTGCTGGGTGTGCCCGGGACTTAGATATTAAAGCAAGGATTGAAGGCTTTAACCCATTGTGTGTGCTTGATGTTGCTCTTCACCCCCTCCCATGTTCCCTCTGAGGGCTTAAGGCAGGAGTGTTATACAGCTTGTCCATGTATTGTGATGTGCTGCAGGTGTCATGGCTCATTCCTTATTTAGGTTGCCAAGGCTGGTATATCAGTGTCTTCATTTCTTTTCCCCATAGGAACATGTAAGGGATTATTAGGATTAGAATATATTTTCTTTTTTAAAAAAACAATAACACACACACACACACACACACACACACACACACACACAAATAGAACCTGGGGTAGAGTTCGCGCAGAGAATAGCTGGCTGAATGTAGTGATATTTATTTTCTCACAAAAACAGATTGGTGGGGAAATCTCTGTCCCCAAAGAGCTGCTAATGGAATGAGTAAGTTCTGCCTGGCATAAAGACACCGCTCTAGCTATTTGTTGAAGCCATAAGGGCACCACCACATCCAACCGTGGCCCCACAGCAAAAGTGGACTTCTCCTCTCTTTTCTTGCTCTGCTTTAAAATGCTGTTTTTCAGCATGTACCAACTTAAAGTGTGTTGGACCATCAGACTGTACTGAATAGTTCCAAGGTAAGTTAAGGAGGGGCTGGTCCAATGCTATTGGTCCCTTGAGGCTATTGCAGGCACACCCCTAGCCACTAATTCTCAGGGCCATTTGTCTTTTGGCAGCAGGAGTCTAAGGCCCTTTCCTCTCCTTCTTTTTCTTTTGCCATCTTTTGCATACTAGCTCTTCTGCCTCCAGAATTTGCTAATCTTTTATGCTCTTAAGTGTTTTTTTTTCCCCAGGACTTCCTTCTTGGAAACAAATTTAGGGAAACTGCTTAATAGGTCCTTAATTGCAACAGCTCAAGGAAGTGTGAAACATATAGTGAGAAGGATATGACAAGTTGTAGCAAGGATATGACAAATTATGCACGAAGATCACCCTAGATGTTAAGGAGCATATCATAATAACCTGTACCTTGATAAACATTTCACATGATTCACTTGAATCGTATCATTTGATACAACTGCTAACTTCTTCCATGGAAATAATTTAAAGAATTAGGTTTTTTTTATATACTAGATTCTACTGAACTGCTGGAAATTTTGAGCTAACCCTCAAATGATTTTGTTGTAACCAGATGACTGCTTTCTCTCTAGGTTTTTAGTTAAGTCCTCAGAATTTCCCTAAACCCAATGCTGTATATTGTTTTGCCACTTTGCTGGATTTCCTAAATTCTTTTGCATGTTTTTTAAATGACTTTTCCAGGTGCCAGGTCTGTAATTCCTTAGAGCCCTTTCCTGTGAAAGCATTCCTGTGAAGCATTCTAGAGGAAGAAAGAAGTCTTTATATTCCTATTCTTTATTCCTCTGGATTATCCTACTTTTTATTCCCTATCTCTGCTGAGTGTGTGAATGACTGAGCCCCTCCAGCTATCATTTTTAAGTGTCGGACAGAAAAATGTCCCATTTACTGGCAGATCTGATTATGTTAACAATGTCCTAATTCTACTCTAATGTTTAGGCCTCTCTTTAGCCCCCCCCCCCCACACACACACTTCTATACTTTCTACAAAATATCAGCAGCACTTCTGTGGTCCATTGAAACAATCTGTTCCCCATAGGGAGTTTCCACAACTGATCTTGCTTCCCAACTCCTTTATTTAGCTTCAAAATTTAACACCGTGAGGACAACAGTGATTGGTCATCTTGAAGGTCTAAGTTCATAGCAATGCCATATAGACATGTCTATGGTTGTAAGATTATGAATATTAGAATAGTTCTTAGGGAGGGATCTAAAATTATTTTGATCTTATTTACATGTATGCAGTAAGTAAAGACTAGAGAAATAGGTGGGCTGATGGGATGAAGAACCTTTGTATAATTTTTTGTCTTATATAGTAGGTCAGATAAAGGTCTTAGACACTGCAGCATGAATGGAAGTTTTCAATAACAACACAATAATACTGTTGTACTGCATTAGTGCAGAAGCAGGATGAGATTTCTACTATTGGAGATGCTCTATAAAAATTGTTCCGTATTCTCCTGTGTTGTACATTTGGGAGTTTCTTAATGGAAGATAGAGTTGTGGTGGATTCTTATATTTCCAGAGTTAGGCTGTGTGCTGAACATCTGCAGGGGGTTAAGCCTTGGAAAGATTATTTTCATTTTTATTAAATGATTTTGTTGCAAAATCTAGCTCCACACACTTCAAAATCAGGCAAACATGGAAATGGGTTGAACTGATGGTGGAATTTGATAATGGTTTGGATTAAAGTTGACAACAAGTTTTGTCCAGAAAAGTTAAATGCTGCTGCTAAGGGGAAGTGATGTTTTGTTTGTCATGAATGGTGGTGTGTGCCGCCATTAAGGAAAAAAAAAAACTTTGGTTGGAAGTGTTGCTAGAGTGGTCTTTACCCCTTGGAGTATAACAAAGTTATTATCAGCTCTATCAGCAGTGAATCATAAGAACTGACATTCAAAATATCTTCCAGAACAGTGAAATAATCATTGGCTTGGGAATAACCCGCCCTGACCACCAAGGCTGAGGGGTAAATAGGAAATGCTATAACAAAGCTTTCTAGTGAAATAGGTCTTTGCTTTAGCAATAACATTCATGCTTTTCATTGTACTTGGTATAACTACATCTTAAGAAATGCAGTAAACCACAAATATTATCTGGATTCTTCTCAAGAATATTAGAATTATTATTATTTTAAAAGTCTTGGTGGCAATCATCCTTCCCAGATTCAATTTGCCCCTTTCGCTAACAAGGATTTTCTTGGTCTAATAGGGCTGGCTCTGACTTATCTAGCTAGGATCGGAAATAACAATTCCTGTCAAACTGTTAGACCTTCCCTGATCTCTCAGACCCACCAAATTGATTCTTTCATTCATAGATGATTCCAAATTGATTCTTTCGTTCATAGATGATTCTTTCATCTATTCAGCATACTTAACTTAGTGATTGCTGCCGAACCAGAAGGGTTGATTAGAACTTTGTTCCTAACTGTGAAGAAAGAAAATGGAGAAGATTAACAGATTAATAAAGTTGGAAGGGACCCTGTAGATCATCCAGTCCAACCCCCCGCCCAAGCAGGGGACCCTACACCATTTCTGACAGATGGCAGTCCAGTCTTTTCTTGAAAGCTTCCAGTGAGGGAGCTCCCACAACTCCTGAAGGCAAGTTGTTCCATTGGTTGATCGTTCTCACTGTCAGAAAATTTCTCCTTATTACTGATGTTGAATATCCTGCCCAACCTCCAGCCCTCTGCAGGCCAGACCCACAGAGTCTTTCCATTCAGCAGACTCCTAGAGTTTCTATTGAAGTGGTTTAGTCATAAACACTTTCTGCAGGGGCAGCCATCCAGTTTCCTGGCTTCAATGAATGATGGGATATGAGGGGGATGGTTTGGGAGGGAAAGATTGAAACTTGGAAGGAACAGTCAGCCTAAATTCACTAAAGCTGATCATTAAAACCAAAAACAGAGGGGAAAAAGAGAATAATTCATATGCCAAGGTAGAAGACTTGAGCTAAAAACTACAGAGGAGAAAATCTATTACTGAAGCACCACAGAAAATTTAGCAATGAGACAGGTAATTGAAAGCCATTTACATCTGTAGGCAGATTATTTCTTATCATGAATCATAGTTACCAATTGAAACTTCACAGGAGCTTGAATGTGCATGTTTCAGTTTGATCACATTACTTAAGGCAGAATTTGCCCAATTGAGGGATTTCCCCTTGTTTTCATGAATGTCAGAATTCCTTAGTCTTATTTTTTCCATTTAAGAAATGTAGAAAATGTTTTTCTTCCACATTAGGGAGGCATATGTACATGGATTATCGATCGAGAAGTATATAGTCTGCATGCTCTGAGACAGAGCGTAAACCAAATAGGATAGTCAAGTAATAAAATATAGTGATAGACAAAGATAGCAGTTAAATTCTATGGATTTTATTAGGGAAAAAAAGATACAAATTTGCAGCTTCAGCAGAAAGTAAATATATATATATATATGTGTTTTAATAAAGTTTTATTTGGGTTTTCACACACAAAATACAAGTAAAACATCTTTTTTGAAAATAGCATGGTCCCGGGTTGAATTTCTTTATACAGACACAAAACTCAATTTCATGCTTGTATTCTATTCCATATCTTATACTATTTTACATTTTCTATATAGTTTTTCCCCTCTTTTAATTTTCTCAATTTTATTTTGATTATCTCATCTCAATTCAAATCATTATATTTATACTTTTGTCTGTTCTGTTTCAATTTCATATTATCTTTTCTCATTAAACAAATTTTCTCCTGTAGTTACTAATTGGAGTATGACACCTTTACATCTTTTAATTACATCCATTCAACTCTTATTTAAACTTCAATATATACCTTAAGTTTATGACCTTCAATATAATACATAATACATAACTTCCAATCGAATTCTGCTCGGTACATTCTTATAATACACACTATATTCTTAAAAAAAAGAAAGATTGTAAATATATGTAATTATAAACCCTCATTCCATTCCAGTTCAGTTCTATCATTAATAATCATTAAAATGTTAACATCTTTAACACTTCTTTTCAATTAAATATCATACTTCCTTAAAAACACATATAATCTCCATAATTAATTTGGAGCGACCCTGCATTGACCTTATGCAGCCTTTGAACGTGGAGTTCTACTGACTAAGCTGCTTTCCTGTTTTCATCACAGCAGTGCTAATACCACCAATGAATCACTGAATGAGAACTGTCTCATCCAAATTGTGCTGGGAAAGAGTCTTTAAGGCCATGGTTGTATGCTGACACACATTGCTGCTCCTACTTTGGGATTTATAAAAACCCTAATCCTGTGGGATTTCCCCTATAAGGCAAATATGAGAAAACATCCCCTATATTGAGCTGAAGGTAGGG